GGATTCTAAGAAGATCACTCATGAGTTTTGATGACGTTTCTCACATGTAACCACATGTTGATTGAGCTAATATCCAATAATGGCATGATTAGCAAATAGCTTCTCTGGTGAGTTGTCAGGGATTTGTTGATTAAAACTTAATTGTATGTGTAGAGAGAATGGAAGTTGCTGTGTCGCTTTTTTAGTGGCAGTGGGACGAAAGATGCAACTAGAAACTGGTTCAAAATAGAATTGTTTGCTTTAGTGAAAGTGGCGTTTGTGCAGTGTCTTCGATGCTTGTGAAAGCAATGGAGCCCTGTCCTGGGGTTTCTTTACCCAGGTTTTGTTTTTTTAAGGGAAAAGCTGGACCCAAGAGTCGCTGCTTGTGTATTGATGACTGCTGGTGGAGCAGTGCACAGGTCTGCAAACTCGCACTATTTTGTAAGAGGGTTCAATCATGTAAGGAACGTGTTTTGCTGACTTTGTCCTGTAAAACTCCTTAGTAGTACCCAGAGTTGTCTGGAAGCTGGTACGTCTAACATCTCTTTCGTCTTTTGAATATTAGGTAATTGAAGCAAAGCTGTATTGCAATTCTGGAGAGGTGAGATTGTCTTTGATTTTGTTTGTTTATCGATACTGTAGAATCTAATTGCAGTGGAAAAGCTGTGGAGTTTTTTGGGGGGGATTTTGAGATTAAGTAGTTCAAGACAAGATTGCTTTTCCCCCGTAATGGTGAGCATATTGCTGTTTAGCATTTAATAGTTATCTTTGGAAAAATAGTTTTGGTTCTGCAAACTGGAAAATAAATTTCACCTTAGAAAGTATCTGCCACCATGGAAATCACCCCGTGACTACCTGGGCAAGCACACGGTGGTACAGAGCAGCAGGCTGGGGCTGATGACCTGCCTCCCTGTCCCGCTGCGATGCTCGGAGGCCTTCGGGGCTGGGGCTCGAGAGCAGCCCCGAGTCTGCCCCAGCGCATGCTTTTGGTGCTCGAAGGCTACTTCACATTGAAATATGCCCCACTCTCTGAATACATCTTTCTGAATAAGAAACAGGCATGCTCCCAAGTGAGGTAATTCTGCAGTCAGGAGCGTGGTTTGGAAAGTGAATTATGGCTCGATTAGGATCTTTGAACTTCTTCTCTGCTTCTCCTGTGGATTGAGTGTCAGGCCCACTTTGAAACCGCGAGGCAGCTTTGGCAGGAGCCTTGTGCCTGGGCAGAGAGTATCAGGGAAAGAAGAAAACCTTTCAGTGAAATAAGCAAGGCCTTCTAGCCAAAAAGTAAAGCTCAGTAATAACAAATAGTTGCATTGCCATTTAAATATTAGGTGTGCCATTAACTATAGGAAGGGATGCTGACATGACAAAAAAAAAAAAAAAAAAAAAAAACCTCTTCATGTATGCATGCATAAACATAAAATTTTTGAGTCTTCAGTTTTACTTCAGCTTTCAGTATGTGTGAATTCATTCCGAATGTTACAGAATAAATGCAGTGCGCTCTACCCTGTTACCTTTTTGCTTTGTGGTCGTTGCAGCTTTGAGAAGCGCCCTGGGCACGAGGCTCTAGTTACCATGTTCCTGCAGGAGCCCCCCCTGTGTCGAGGCCACCTCGGGCCTGCCGCGTGCGGCCTGGCTGCTGCCCGGCCCTTCACCTGGGCTGCCTCGTGCGGCCGCCCGAGTGCTTCGCCCGTGCGAGCCACCCACCGGAGCCTGGCATTCCTGCAGGCCGGAGCAGCTCCTTCCCCCGGCGCTGCCGGACTCCCTGGTGACGGCCGCCTGGCAGCGGGAGCAGCCGCCTGCTCGCAACTTGCCGTAAAAATTCGCCTGCAATCCCGTTTTCCACGCTTCCCCTCATCCCAACCCCCTTCCCTTTTGTTTTGCCTCTGTTGGCATTGGGTGAGCTATATTTATAAATCTCTTTGAGAAACCCTCGGTTATTAGTGATTAACAATAGAGTTCATCGCTTAATGTCCGTCGTTAAGAGAAGGTGCCCATTGCCATGGGAACGATGTTAATTAGACTTGAACAAAAGGCATAGAGTTAGATGGAAAGTGTCCTTTCTGTTTGTCAAAAACTTAGGCCTGAGAGTTGTGGCTTGGACAGCTGTGATCTTTTCTCCTTTAATTAAACAAAGTGTGAAAAGAAAAAAGGAAGAATTTATTTGCAAAAGGTGCATATTGAAAAGAACCCAGGCAAGGAGGATGTGCTGTGATTAGAGAGTGTGTCTGTATGTAGCTCCCTTCAGAAGAGCCGTGCAGCGGGGTTCCCATTAGGGCTGCCCCCAGAGCCCTCCTAACCACCCCCGTGGTAGCTGTGCCTGGTGACGTGGCTGCTCCTGGAAGCCACGTCACTTGCCCGGAGAAGCAAGGAGTATTTAGCAGCCCTCTTGTAGGGAGGGAGTTTTGGCTGCTAGAGGAAGGCAACGCGGTCTGAATGACAGAGGGAGTTTAGGCAGCGCTGAGCAGAGGGGCTGCTGCGCACCAGCAACAGAGAGGGGGTATCTCTTGACAGAGCACACGGATGGTAAGTCTAAGGAAAGTGCTGTTTCCTTCTTGGGCAAAGCTGTGTACCCTTAGCTCAATGCACTCATTGTAACGATGCGCTCTCTCTACAGAGTTCATCCCAGCAAGGGAATTTCAAGCTTATGGGAAGGCGTTAGAGACTGGCAAAGTAAAAAAGACAAAACCTGCCCCCACAAGAGTGTAAGCTGATGCAGAAGACAATGCATGGAGGTGGAGATGAATAGCCCATGGATTCGGGGAGGGTAGCTCTTTTGCTGTTGGCTGTGTTGGAAATCGGAAGCTGATGCTCAGGAGCAGTGAAAACCCCGCATGCGGGTCGCTCGCCGTGTCTGAAGAGTACAGGAGCGGCAGAGGAAGTGCACAAGCGTGCTCTGAACAAGTAGCCTGAGCTGTGTCTTATTGTGTCACCGGGGACCGAGTGAGAAGCAACAGCCAGGCGGGGATAAAATGCCAGCGAAGGGTAAATACTTCTTTAACGAGAACGACGACTGCAAGATAACAGACCCGCTCTACGAGAAGTACCGCTACACGAGCCAGCAGCACCCGCTGCTGCTGCTGCTGCTCTTCATCGCCATCGCCTTCTGGACCACACTCATCGTTATCTTTTTTGTCACAGATGTGAGTATAGCTTTTGGAGTTGTGCTGTGTACTGTAAAGGATGAGGAATGTGTATAACAGCACGCAAAATGTTACTGTGTAAATATTTTTTTTGGAGGTCTTTGGTGTAATAACTGTGTTGTTGAAGAAATCAAGTAGCTGCGGGTGTTTTTGAAGGGATGGGGAGGAGAGGAGCTGGACTGGTCGGAGCCATGCGCCCTTCCTGGAGGGATGGTGCTCCTCTCTCCTGTTTTCCATGCTCACTTGTAGCTGTGCCAGCAAGTAAGTATCCTTATTAAGGAGGTCAGGACAGAACGTGAAATTAAGTTAAAATGTTCTGCCTCTCTCAGCTTTCTCTTTTCAAAATAAGATATGTGAAATGATGTGTTGATTCCTTGGTTATAAATTCCCGAGATGATATCTCTCTATGTGTGAATATTGCTAAGAATTAATGCTGCTACAGCTAGACTATTCAGGTTCAAAATATGCTAACCTGAGTTCCAGTCTCAGCTGTTTCCTGCACTGTATGGATGCTTTTTCCATTTTATCTAAAGGGGAAAGTTAGAATAAATATAACACTTCGTTTTGCTTTTGCAGGAAAGACATGATCACCTTGCCTTCATTATTACAGTATGTACTGCTCTTGTCGTATTTGCAGTCATATACTTGCTTTTATGTATTGGATCCTTATTTCGGAGATGGCTAACATTATTTGGAGTTATAATTTGGATTAGCTTCGTAACCATAGGATATGTGTCTATTTTTGAAAAAGAAAATGATTTTCCACCATGGGAACAGGTAGGTATTTTTGTTTATTCAATGGAACTGATAACCAATGTACACGGGTATGGGCATATTTGTATTTTTTTATGAACATTTTAACTGCATAATTTTGTGTTTCTTCACAACAGGTTCACTTTTCCTATTTGTTTTTATTGATTTATATCATAGTCAGTTCTTCATCTTTATTTCAGTGAAAATGTAATACAGGTGAAAAAACTAAATACCTGTAGGAATCTCTGCAGGAGTTGTACTCGCAGTTAGTAATTGAAATGTGTTTTTGTTTTGGCCAACTAAGCCTTTACTACGAATTTATCTTCAAGAGAACTTTTCATTAGCAATACATGCTTTGCTCATTCACTATGTGGGTTAGTGTGGTGTTTGAGTCGTTTACAAGGGCTGTGTGCTGGGCGTGCCCTGGGGAGCGTGTTTTCACATGGATGGGAGAGGTGCAGTGAACAATAAGCATTAATGACACATCCTGGCATAGCTGGGTGCGGCTGAAGTTCATTACTTAGTATCTCTGATCAGAAGACAGCGATTTCATGATGCCAAAAATATCATAATCTGTAGGAAACTCCTCCTAGACTCTGGTAATATAAACAGAAGAATTTTTAATTAAATGAAAAATGACTTATTATCTTGTACTGACTCCTCCTCTTCCCCTCTTTATTTGAAATAAAGAAAATTATAAATTATCTGCTAAACAGCCAAAATCTGATTTGTATTATGGCGTGGATCCAGCAACATGTATTTTTAATTGCTATTCAGTACTTTTAGCTTAAGCAACATCTCACCTTAGGAAGGGAGAACCCCAAGTTCGTGATTTTTACGTATATAGACTTCTATCTTTGACTTCAGAATTACCATTTAAATGCAGATATGGCATTTGGTGGTCTATATTTCCAAAGCTATTACATGTGATGTTGCGGTTGTGTGATACTTTTTTTAGTACATTTAGCACAGGATTTTTGTGAAACCTGTGCAGCTTACAAGGTAGGTAGTTGCAATAACTGTGACTCTTCTGTAGCCACTGGGATGTGTTATTTACATTTTTCCTTCTATCAAATGCAGTAAACAGAAGTGATCTGGTGGTGTTATTATTAACACTGTATTTTGGAAAATATGCATCATTTAATGCTAGTCAATATTGCTGCCTTGCACTGTGCTGTTCCTGATACGTAATGTACAAAGTGCACCTCCTGCTGCCATGGCTAAATTACAGGTGAAGGGCAAGGGCAGCTGAACAAATTGCAGGTGATATGTGATGTTAAACGGTGGTGTTTTCTGTTCTATAACTATTAATGCCATTGAGGCTTTTAAGACTGCTGCCATCCTGATATTTTAATGGCATTTTTGAAATGTCAATATTCATATGTATGATCTGAAAATGAATGAGAATACTGTTGCTTTCCTCCTTATTCTGTAGTGATTTTTTGGAGGTATCCAGTAATACATGTGGGTTTTTCTGTTTGTTTCTTTCTTTCTAAAGGTGCCATTTTTCCTATTCCTTATCTTCATGGTTTATACCATGCTCCCCTTCAGGATGAGAGATGCTGTCATACTTAGCAGTCTTTCTGCTCTCTCCCACATTATTGTTCTGAGCATTGTTGTGCCAAAGAATTCTCCGAAAGAAAAGGAATCTGTTCTCTATCAGGTAAGGAGATACTGCTTGGTTAAGCAACAACGCAGTCGTACGAGCACTTGCTCTTGGCAAACCCCCATGTTCAGCCAGCTCCCAGACTTGCACTCTGTTCAGGACCTGGGAGCGTGGGCACCCAGCTCATCTGCATATTTTTACTAAAGACATAATCATTTCTAATGCGTCCTGGTTTTCTAACCTAAGCAGAAGCAGCAGCATGGTTAACCAGGTAAGGCAGCACAGGACAGACTTTGCTGCATTCCTCCTTCCCAGGCCAGCTCTTCCAGGTAGCTCCTACCTGGCTCCGTCTGGCACCGCCTGCTTCCCTGGGTGCTGGGAGACCAGCAGGGCCAGCAGAGCCTGGGTACCGGCCGTGCCCAGAGGAGCACCCAGCTCCTGTCCCGCACCTCGTGCATGTGTGGGTCACGCCAGTGGGCTGAGGCTGGGTCCTACCTGAATCCCACACACCTGCCCACGAATAAAAAAGGTTAAGTGATAGCCCAGGATATTCTGCGTTTCAGCGTGCTCCAAAGGAATGCCCAGCCCTTTGTAAGTTACCATGTTTCTGCCATACATGGTGACTAACTGGGAGCTGTAATTTACACGTGAGAGAGAAGGTAAGGGAAAAATTGGAAGGGGCACTGGGATGGTTTGTTATTAAGGGAATAATCATTATAGCAGTGAACTTTCCCTGGCTGCTGTTCAGTATGTAAATGTTTTTCTTCTTGTGCAGTTACTTGCCAATGCGGTCATTTTTCTTTGTGGTAACTTGATGGGTGCCTTTCACAAACGCCAAATGCAGGTGGCTTCATGGGACTTGTATAGATACACATTAAAGTGCATTCAGGTCCGAATGAAACTGAAGATCGAAAAGAGACAACAAGTGAGTGAAATGATTCATTTTTTTGAGTTTCTTGTTTCTATAAAGTCAGTATAATTTTATAAAGTTTGTGATTAATGCAAGTTGAAAGGCTTGGTATGATCTCTGTGATAATTTTCTAGTATTTAAAAAAAAAGGAAATAAAGGGGAAAAAAAGAAAAATAAAAATTGTGCCATTTGCAACAAAAGAAGGAAGTTAAAGAGAGGAAGCTCTTCTGTGCAGGGCTTGTCTATACAAGAAAAAAAACACATGGTATTTGAAACAGGAATATGATTTGATTGGCAGATTTTTTTGGTCAAGTGTTTTAAAAAAATTACGGGATCTAACCTAAGGTAACTCAAAAGAAAGTGTCCATAATGCCCTGAGAAACAGCACCTGAGACATGATTGCCCTGGTCACAGGGGAAATTCTCCAGTTATTACTTGTTCCTGTCTTTTCGTGGTTTGCACACTATTTTTGTTTTGCAAGAAGGAGAAAATAAGGACTGAAGAGAGGAAATACTGTGAGGTTTTAAGTGACTGTATTGTTTGGAGTCTAAACTGAAGTCATATGCAAAGAAGAAGCTAGAAACAGGAAGGGTTGTAAGAAGTCTCCAAGCTCAAAGCAGAGCACCTCTCTTAGCAGCTGGTGCTGGTCAGAGCAGCTACTCTGGAGCATCCAGGTCTCTGCCCACAGGCTCCTTGGTAAAGGGAAGGGGATGGAAAGTGACTGACTCTCCCTCCATGGCTGCTTGTTTGAAGTGTAGATGTGCTCAGCTCCGTGGATAGCTCTTTCATCTGTGCTATGAATTGTCAGGTGTAATTCTGAGGATCCTTTTGCACTCACTTTTTGCCTATGAAGAAAATATGAGAAGTGAAATTGAAGTTCCTTGTCCCTTCTTTGGAAGCGATGGTGGGTGGTATCAGGTTGCCCTGCTGTGTGCAGTGGGGCTCTGCTATCAGCTGAGTTTGTTCCCCAGAGTTGCATCTCCTAATGCAAAAATGCTGGAAAAGGAGGAGGTGACAACTGCATTTCAGATGTCAAACCAAGTTCCTGAGTTTAGGGTGGGAGGGGGTAACTCCTGGGTAGCTCTTGGGTGCCAAGTACAGCAGGAATCTGCTCTAGTCAGTACTTGGCACCCAGGAGCTCCCCCTTCCCACGGTGATCTCAAGCCATTTGATTTTGGTGACAGGCACTAGTTGAGCTGCCTGGTCGTGCCTGTGGGACGCTGCAAAAGCGAGAAAACGGCACTGAGAAGCCACCGAGTTCTGCTGAGCTGCAGAGTCCGTCTGGATGTTGGTGCCCTTGCCCAAGGCAGCTCCTGCTTGTGGCCGTCCTGTGCAGCGTGTCCTGCGCCGTGTTGGCTCCGGGTGGCAGGGCCCTTCACAGGCTACCAGCTCTCCACTCACCTCTGCTCTGCCCGGCAGCTTGGGGGGCTTCTTTGAAGAGCTGCTTTGCAGACAAAGCCGGTGTAACACACAGCACGCCGAGGAGCCAGACCGTGCCAGTGGTTTGCCAAGACGCCTCATGAGAATAAATTTCATTCAAAAATTCCATTGCTGCGTTCAAAAGACTTTATTGCAGTGGCATTTGTTGTCCCGATTCATTTATATGATAGTGGCATCTTGTCAACAATTTTGTGTCTCTCTTGCCCTTTTCCAGCACTTGACATTCTCAGCTATTTATTTCAGCATTTGAGAATTCAGGTGGTTTTAGTACTGCACAGATCACAGTTAGAGAATATAAGATTTTTTTTATCTGATTTTTTTTTTGTCACAAGGTGCTAACATAAGTCTGAAGGAGACAGATGAGTGAAAAGTAATGTTGAATTTTTTTTTGTGTGTGTGTTTTTTTCCATGGTAAGAGCGAGGTGTGGCATTTAGGTCATAAGGGACAGGAAGAAAATGTGTGACACAATTAAAAACTCAGTGTGTTTAATTTTGAAAACCTAAGCAGAAAAAAAAAATTTTTTGGAGAACTTGGTGTGTTACTCAAAAGCTACTTGAATAAAGAGGTTTTATTTTTAATTCTTTTCTACAGTCACTGAAATCCTGCAGTTTGAAGCTTGCTGTATTAAGAATTTACATCATTAAGTTTTTCCCTCTCCTTTTAGGAAAATTTGCTTCTGTCTATCCTGCCAGCTCACATATCTATGGAAATGAAATTAGCGATCATAGAGCGACTAAAGGAAACCAATGATAACAGGCAAATGCATGACAACAATTTCCACAGCCTCTATGTAAAAAGGCACCAAAATGTTAGGTAAGTGCAGGAACTTTAGATCTAATTGTAGTAATGCAAACTGATACTTTTTATCAGTGTTTATTGTTGTGGAATTCAAATCTGGAGATAAATTTACAGGCTATAGTGAACCTTTTTCCCTGTTATTCAATGGTAGAAAGCAGCATGTTAGTTCAGAATACTAAAACTAGCTGAAATGTGTAAGCTTTTTTTTTTTTTTTTTCCTTCTCCTCTCTTCTGGAGTTATTTTCTAAAGGGAAAGATGTTTTCTGTTAAATGGGCTTTAATATTTAAACTGACTGTGGAGCAGACTTATTTTCCTATTTCAGTTATGCTATTTTTGCCTGTTGTTCCTTCCTAGTATTCTCTATGCAGACATTGTGGGATTTACTCGCCTGGCCAGTGACTGCTCTCCTAAGGAACTGGTTGTGATGTTGAATGAACTTTTTGGGAAGTTTGATCAGATTGCAAAGGTAAGTGCTACGGTTTGTTGCCTGAGTGGCATATCCAACAAGGATAAATGGCACCATTAAAAAGCAGCCAGCCTTTCTGCCAGGTAGAGAAAGCTTTAATGGACCTGGAAGGAAGCTCATGGTATTTTTGTGTCTGTGTGTTTGAAATTCCATGGGAAAACTGTAAAATTAATAGAAAAACATGTTGAGAGAGCAGTTTTAGTTAAATAGACTCTGGTTAAAATCTAAGAGCTTAGTTTATCTTTTTGACATTATATGTCAAATGTGACGTTGCTAATCTTTATATAATATTGGTGTTAATTGAATTGTTATGAAAATTCCTTGAGTACCAATAGATAAGAGGGTTGTACTAGCCATATTGCAACAGCACTGCCCTTAAGAACACACAGGATGACATGACTATTAATCTGGTTACCACACGTTTGTGTTACGGTGGAAGTTGAGATTAAAATCAATGTCCTGTGAAAGCAGAAAAGGGGATGTTGTTTCTAACTATTCCTTGGGTACAGAAATATAATAAGTTTCAAAATTTGATGTTTTTGTTCTTCATTTGTAGTGAGAAATTAAACTGTTTAGAAAAATATTTGTGTTTAGTGACTCAAGGACTTTTGCAACTCTGCAATTGAGCCGTGAGAAGAGATTGCTGCTTTCTGTGCTATTTTTGTCGTGTCGGGGCGTGTTCTCGGTCATCGTTTCTGTCGTGCAAGAGCCCTGGAGGCTGCAAACCTCCCGTGAGCCACGGGCTGAGCCGGGGGCCGAGCCGTCCTCGGCGTGTGCCCAACGGTGTCCGCCCTTGCACAGCGAGGGATGTGGCTTCGAGCGAGTGAGAGCAGCTTGGTGAGCTGCCACCCACGTGGGCTGGCTGCAAATTAGGGTGCCTGGGGATTGAGTGAGACCAGCAGGGCAGCGGCTGGGATCCCCTGCCCTCAACTCAGTCATCTCTGCTCGTCAGTCAAGCAGCCTCTGAGGCAGAATTAACCTGGCCCCTCTTGCAACACTTGCAGTCCAAATTCTTACCTAATGCGTGCTCACAAGAAAAGGCAGTGTGAGCAGGTCGTCTCTGTTCTTCCTCTTTCCCCTCCCCAGCCTTGCAAGGATCCTCTCTTGCAAGGGCAGGAGAAAGTTTGCTGCTGCTGAGCGGTGCTGCTGCTTTTGCCATCAGTCACTGGCAGCAACGTGACTGCCCCGTGGGCTCACTTCCTCTTCACTCATTTAAATAACATTTCCTTCTGCAAAACTACCAGTTTGGCCATCTCAGTTCCTGATTTCTCCCTAAATTCTGTGTGTGTTTTGGGACAATGCTGTTTGTGAGACTATAAGAAATGTACTGTCACTTTTGCATTGTTAGATTGCTAGTAAGCTAAGCAGCAAGATGAAAATACGGACGAGTAGTGTTCGTGTTGCAGGTAGTAAGTTCTGTGGTGGTTCTTCATAGCTTTGATTTTATTTATGACTTCCCAATTGCAAACACTTGCAAAGAATAAAGTGAGAAGTTGATGTTTTTCTTTTAGAAATGCTTTAAGTGGGCATTTCTTCTACCCACCAGCAGCAGCGTCCAGACATTGGGATGTAGGAAAAGAGCAGTAGGGTTTGCTTCAAGCAGCATTACGTGAGGCTCAGCTTCCTCAAATGGACATAGGGAACTCTTAGGTTTTGAGTCATCAGCTTTCTTGCAGTTTGTATTTTCCTGTTGAATGTGTTTTCCCTTATTTCACAGGAGAATGAATGCATGAGAATAAAAATTTTGGGGGACTGTTACTACTGTGTGTCAGGCCTACCTGTATCCTTACCGGTTCATGCCAGAAACTGTGTTAAAATGGGCCTCGATATGTGTGAAGCGATAAAGTAAGTATAGCAGCCAAAGACTTTCTAAAATATAGAGGTTCTGAAGCTATTGAATAAATTTATTAGCTATAGTTTATGATAATTATGTATGCTTTGGGTCATAAGAGTTTTAGTCTCTTGTGTTTGCTCTTAGTATACCTGTAATGATATTAATTTGTAGTATATCTTTAGGCCTTACAGAAGAAGGAAAGAAAACCAAACATAAGTTGCCTAGGCACGTTTATGTTCAGTGATGTATAGTTTAGTGTAGGTACATAAAGCTAAATATTGTATTAATACTCAAATTACATTAGGGATTCAGTAGTATTTAACGTAATAGTTACAGATTGTATCTTTCTTCTGCTTAATTCTAGAGTAGCTGCTTGGCAGAAAGCTAAATCACTTACTCGAAACCAATGTATGCCAATGACATTATTTTATTTTTATTTTTGTTACAGCTGGTGTGAAATGTTCCAGCAAAACAGTTTTGTTGGCAATGCCAGTTCTTTGATATACAACAAGACAATACAGCTATGTTGATATTAAGAAGAACAATGTTGGCTAGGGCATTATAATACTGTCATGGGATTTTTGCATTCCAGCTTGGTTATTTTTTACATAAGCACTGCTATATATACGCTCTTTCTACTTAGCAAAGTTTTTGGTGGGAACAGCTTAGTGTGTAAATAACAGCTTGATTTATATGTGAAATGCATTTAGATTTTTGTTGTAATTGAGCTCTCCACTTTTGAAATCTTTTTTTACCTTGAAATGGGAAATGTGGCCCAGTTCAGAGATTTTCGGAACTGTTGGTTTGAGCTGGGTTTCACAGAGAGCAGGATTAGAGCAGGATTTGATATGTGCCTGGATTGTTCCCTTAATAACTAAATGCAAAAATGAATCTATTTGGAAGACTAGCACAAAGGCAGTAAAACTGAGAAGTCTTCAAATGCAGGAAATAACCACGCAGAGTGGTAGTTTTCTCTTGCCCATTAAAAGCAGTGCGAATTTTGCAGCTTCTGATGTGAGCAGCTCTCTTGTGCTCTGCTCCCCTTCCTCCTGCGCAGGCAAGTGAGGGAAGCCACGGGCGTGGATATCAACATGAGGGTTGGCATCCACTCCGGGAACGTGCTCTGCGGCGTCATCGGCCTGCGCAAGTGGCAGTACGACGTGTGGTCCCACGACGTGTCCTTGGCCAATCGCATGGAGTCCGCGGGAGTGCCAGGGTGAGGCTCCTGTGCGCGTTTGCTCCGTGCTCGCAAGTCTCGGCTTTGCAGCTCTGCTGTCAGGCAGGTCCTAAAGTGTGCTGATGGAAGCAGGAGAAAATGTGAGCTGTGGTTTTCAAATGTCAATGTTTTCTGGTTCTTTTTTGATTAACTGTAAAATAAGAGACTTCTGGGGCAAGTGACTCATGCTTGGTGCTCCCTTCAGCTGAGAAGATTGCATGTTTTCAGCAGCATGTTATTGTGTTGAATTGTTTGGTTATTTGTGCCGAAGGATAATACTTTATTGGCAAGTTTAGATGAAGGATATGCTATTTATGTGGCCGAGATGAAGCTACGTATTTGCATTGGTCATACTAGCTTTATATTAGTTGTATAATCAAAAAATGCAGCCTGCTAAGGGGTATCCGAGTAGCAGGAACTCTGTTACTGGTGGCCATGTGTTCCTCCTATGTTTGCCATCAGTGCCTGGGAAGGGCAGGCAAGGACGTGCAAGAGCCGAAGCCAAGCAGTAGCAGAACGTATCATGTGCTGCTCAGCCTTTAGCTACATTCCCTTAATTTTAACATGAATTTCTGCAAAGTAGCAAGGGGGTATGATTGTGAAATTATTCGTTCACATTGATGACTAAAATTCAAATAATTGGAGGGTGGTTCAGAGTTGCAGTACCCTCCATGCTGAGTATTTGATCAGTGTTGACTCTCCATGGGTTAAGCAAGAATAAGAGGTTGTGAAGTTTTATTGCTTCATAAAGCAAACAACATGATCGAAGAAAGCACAAAACTATATATTTTTTAGTACTTTTGGCATCATTGCATCATCTTAAAAGCTTTAATTATTCTAGGTGCTTATATTTGATTATCTGTTAAAGCTTGCAGCAATTTTGTTTGCTTATTCTGAAACACAACACTCATTATATCCATACGTGTCTAGCACTTGCCAGTTTTTCTTCAAAAGTAGTAAGAGGAAACTTTTTATTCCTGGAGGACGGAGCCCCAGAGGGAGGAAGGGGGCCTCTCTGTACACAGTGCCTCCAGAGGAAGGGTCTGTTGGGGTTCCCCAGTTTTTGGTGGTAGCTGATCCTGCTCATGAGGAAGTCAAGGGAATGTTTCTAGCCTCAGGAGCAGCCTGAGCTTTCCAGAACGCTCAATTGGACAGATGGTAGCAGACTCTTATTTAAATATATAAGTATATGTGGCTTAGACTTCCGTGAATGAAGGCAGTTTAAAGGCTGTCAAAAGGATGCAGGAAAATTGTGCCTTTAAATATTTTATTTCCATTGACCGCGTGTCCTTGTTGTCTCTCTTCCTCTTTCCAGTTTAAGACATGATTTGCATTAGTAGCCCTGTAATGCAGTGGCAGAGCAGAAAGCAGCAGACTAAAATACCCCCCCGTACGGCCCCTTGTCTGCAGCGCGGGTGTAAGGGGGTGGTGGTGGCGGGCGCGGGGCGGCCAGTGTCAGTGCTGCCACCAACGTGCACGCGGCCGAGAGGAGCTCCCTGTCCTGGGGCCGCGGCACCGCGCGCCGCTGCAGCCCGGCGCTGTGTCCTGAGGCTCCGAAGAGCAGGAGCAGCCTGGGACAGGGAGGGCTGCTCTAAGTGGTCTGCTCTTCAAAGGGTTCTGATTCTGATGAGTAACAAAAAAATACCGCTAATAGCTTGCTAGTATGGTTTTAAACACTGGCAAGATTTTGGAGTTGGCTGCCAAAGCTCAAGATGGCTGAAAAGTGCAAAAAATGCCAGCAGCAGCCATTGAAATGGAAATGAAATGCTTAATCTGACCTTTCTGTACACGTGTGGATCTCCTCTTGATTTCCTTTCAGTCGTGTGCACATCACTGAAGCAACGTTAAATCACCTAGGCAAAGCCTATGAGGTAGAGGAAGGGAATGGGCACCTGAGGGATCCCTACCTTGAATCCATGAACATCAAAACCTACTTAGTGATCGATCCAAGGGTATGTATATGTTTTTTAAACTTGTTGTGTGCGTGCATATATTAAGTGTGTTTGTATTTATATACATATTCAAGTATCTGTGGCTCATACATTTATCTTCAATTCGAAGTGTTGGCTTCCTTTAGACCCACAGTGGCATTGCTGCATGAGTAGTGCCTGCCTGCCCACTTGGGACACAGATATAATCTAAGGCTGAGTCTGTCATTTGCAGGATCTTCTCCTAATCACTGTTTTGATCCTCCCTAGCTCAGGAGTTAGGATCTGTACGGCCCTGCTGTTGTGCTGACCTCAAGGAAACTGTGCTTATAAGATCCTGGGATCTCCTGCATCATCATAAATCAACCAGGAAGCTTTAGAACCGCACAGCTTTACAGGCAAAGACTTGTAAAGGCAGCTCAGGCAAATTCATTAAGTCATGATTTGCTTTTGCTCAAATTAATTAAATGAGATACAGGAAGCATGGATGGCTGATGCATTCCTGATACACGTTTAGAGTCTTACTAAACTGTTAGGCATTTTATCCTTAAAACTACTTATTAAGCAGTTAGTAGAGCTTCATTTGTATGTAGTTTACATCCTGTTCTGATTTGTAAATGAGTATCTTTTCTACTAGTCCAAACAGTGTGTGTCAAATAATCATCTCCCTAAAACAAGAGTTAACGATGGGCTGAAGATGCGAGCGTCGGTGCGGATGACGCGGTACCTGGAGTCCTGGGGAGCAGCCAGGCCCTTCGCCCACCTCAACCACAGAGAGAGTGTGAGCAGCGACTCCTCCGCTTCGCAGGGAAGGCGAAGGAAGGTGAGGCTGGCCATGGTGGTTGGCATCTCACGGTTGCAAGTGATTCTTTGGGTTCAGACATCAGGTCATATGCTAGGCGTTTTTGTAGAAGTTTTTTGCCCTTAATTAGGTGTACATAAATAGTGCATGTGCTAAGTGTAGACAAAAAGCCAACAGTGTAAGTATTGTTTCTGCCAAAACTTAGACTACAGCATTCAAACTCTGCTGGTATCCTGCATGCTCCTCCCATTTACTCCAGCATGGTAGTAAATTCGCTAAGTCAAACTTTGAAACTCTCCTTCTTTTGGACATTTTTCCATCCCAAGGTCTGGATTGCTGCTGGGGTTTTTGACCAAAAGGTAATTTATCCCAGCCTCTGGATGCATTCAACAATTACTTAAAATGTTTAGAAAAGAAACAATCCCTCTAGATGCACCATCTATGCCAGGATTTGGCTAATAAGCAGTTAAACTCATTCTCCTTTAGTCTGCATTTTCAGGGAGCTGGGAGGAGACTTGTTTTCTTTCAGGTGCAGTCCTGAATACAATAAGCAAGGCTGTGCTCTGTGTCTGTGACCAGATGACAGTAATTTTAATACTAAATTTTAAATAGCAAATTTTAAAGTGAAAATCCCTGCGTTCACTTTTGTACAAGTAGTTTCCAGTTTACTTGTCTCTGCTGCTGATCTGCTCTGATCATAGTTATTTGACTGCATGGAGGAAAATGAAAGATGTTAGATTTGTTCAGTTATGTACTAACACCTTTCTGTCAGAAAAAGGAAACTTGTCAAAGCAGAAAAGGTTGATTCTCATGACCATTTTGTATTTGAGAATGGTTCTGAACTTTTGTGAATAAAAATGATTTTAGCTGCTGCTTCATTTTCATTTGTGGTCTGCAATTAAGAGTATGGAAGTAACATTCTCAATTCCTTGTTTGGTTTAGGAAATACCTTTATGTTCCACTGGACGCCAAAGGACTTCAGATAGGTTTGTCCAGTGCTTTCATCCTTTTAATATATAATCTTAAGTTCCTTTTACAGTTGAATGTACTGTAAACATGTCAATTTTTGGTTGATTAATGACTCTGGTAACTGTTACACTCTTAAAATAACGCTAAGCTAAATCCTTGAGCTTGGAACAAGCTTCTTGGTTCCCATTTGTTACTGTTGGCGTTTTCCGAAAGGAGCTTCCCTGCTCCGTGTCCCAGCCCCGCTCGGACAGGCTGCCCCTTGCTGGCCGCTCAGCATGGAGCAGAGCTGGAAGAGCAGGATGGAGGGGAGCAGGGAAGCAGTGGGGTCTAAGTACAGTCATGTATATTCTGTAACCGTGTGTGCTACCTCAGCTCTTAGTTTTCTTACTGATAAAATGCCTTTTTGTTGTTGTTTGCAGTATTAGTATATTTATTTATACTGTGTATATACTATACTGTAGTATATAGTATATTAATACATATATGTGCAGTATATTTCACTGTACTTAAATTTTTGTGATGTATATAAGAGATTTGGATAAATGAGAGTTTATATCTATGAGCAATCTCTTGTTTCTGAGTATGATTGCTGACATGGGCTTTGTATTATTCTTAGGAATTCGTCTCAGAAGGGAAGGATAGAGGAAGATATTTATGATGAAATGATGTCAACCATTGAGGGCCTCAGTTCAACTAAGTATGCACTGTTTTATTTTTTTCTTGATCTTGCTTTTCCTCAGGAGTAATCTGCAGTCTCAATTTTAAGTCTACATGCAAAGTTTATTTCTTAATAAATTCAGTCTTTTGCTGTGGGCCCTTCTGAACTGCCTCTCTCTCTCACTGCAGCCCCTGGTGTGGCAAATCTGATGACTTCTGCGGATTCTCCCTGATTTTTGCAGAACCTGCTCTTGAGAAAGAGGTTGGTGAGAGCAAAATGATCATTTCTGGTGACTTCTGAATGGCATTTCAGTTCAGCGTAAGAATGAATCCCTTTGAAAGGTCTCTTCTTGTTCTTGCCTTGGATCCCAAGATGCCTGCAGACCCCTGGGGGTCTCTGGTAGCTGGTGGCAACCAGAGCTCGTGGTCCATTAGTCACTGCCCTGGGTAAGGCCACGTGTGTGGGCGGGATGGGGCTGCCCCTGCTCTGCACTCAGGCCCTTGCAGAGCAGGAGCTGGCAGGAGCTTGGGCAGCCTTAACTACCGATGGCTTTGGGTAACGTTGTCCTTCATGTCTGGATGGCACAGCACAGAAAATTGATTATGTATTTCTTCAAATTTACCTGTGTGCATGTACCTTGCATAAGGGTTTTGATTAAGCCTGTCTGGGAAGTCCTGATTTACATAGTGCTCTGCAGCCAATTTCCCTCCAGGTTTGAAATAGCCTGGACTATTGGATTGGGCTGTTCTTGCTGGCAGCCAGTGCTCACGTGGGAACAATGATGGTTGTTTTTGTTAGTTCTCTTTTATGTATTTGGGTTTAATAGTACAATATAAATGAGCACATATATGTAAACACAAAAATGAAATAGAGTTAATCTCAGGGTAATTCTATTTTTTTATTTTAACCTGTTTTTCAGTATCGGACTATTCCTATTTTAAAACTGAAGAGTTACTTCGTGTGTGCCAGTTTTGTGTTTCTCTGTATATTTCTGATACAGATCTTTATAATGCCAAAGTAAGTGTCTGTATTTTTATATTTTAACGTAAGCTATGGATTATATGGAACTCTAACATGCGTGAAACTTCTTAAATCTTTTGGAGTTTCTGAACATTTAGATATAAGAAGAACATGTTTCTTAATCTACCTTTTAATGAAAAAGTGGATTCATGTGTTGGGGTAAGAGCCTGGACACTGGTATGAAAAGGAAACAGAAATATCTCTTAATATCAAGTTTGACTGCCTGGAGCACATGATGGGGTGATCAGCTAAGTGAGGAATTCTGCTTTATAAGAATAACTGGCTGTAAGGACATGGAGAATATGGAGTAGGAAACTGGGATTAGGTAAATCAAGTGTGCTCAGTGATTGCCACACCGAGAGAACCTGCAGCCTCAACTCTCACCTCTGAGAGCAACTTTGTGGCACTTTTGTTTTTCATGGCTGTTAGAGTACATTGCTATGGGGTTACACATGGGGTAATGGTGCGAGCTGCCACCAAAGGGGTGAAAAATCTTAGTACTGTATTTGTGCAAGGGAACAAAAATAACCTGTGCAATGTTGTCATTGTTCAACACTATAAGAACAATTCTGTTTAATTCTTGAGAAGCATCTTAGCAAGTATTAGCTTGATGAAATGCAATTTGAGAAAGATTTTTATTTAACACTGCTTTGTTTAATGCTACTTATTTCTGCTTAGAACTGCAAAACTGGGAATTTCCTTTGGTGTTGTTGCAGTCATAATTGCACTTATTTTGTTGGTGTGTTTTGCTGAGAAATGGATGGTAAGTAACAGTTTTCCTGTTCTCAAAAATGAATGGATGTAATTTGTCAATTAAGAACGATAAATTAAAACTATTAATTTCAAGGGAAGATAGAGGAACTTGGCACTTTAAGTTACCAGAATATTTCACTGTCCAAAAGATAGACTTAGATGCTGAACTTCAGATACTCATGTTCGAAAATTCTTGGTATATCTGAGTTCCAGAATGGGGAGTGGGAGGAAGGCGTTAACATGTTGTGCTTCTGTAGGTGTTTTTGTTTTGTTTTTAAGATGGATTTCTCAGAATTTTTAAATACTTGTTTATAATAACAATTTTGGTTGTAAATCCTGTGATTTTTCTATAATGGAACCAATATTAAATTCAAAAGAAATACGAATACAAGGTTATGGATTGATAAAGCCCCATGGAAATTACAAATGTATGAATAATTTATTGGCAGCAATTCCATAGCTGTTAGGATTCCAAATGTACCATTACATCAATTAGGACACTTTGCATTTGGATTTCCTTTGCTTTGCATTACTAAATGCATACAATTACTGCTTAAATATGAATAAATGAAACAGTCTACAGTGATGCCGAGTTTAACTATGTCAATTAGTCAGTCCTTCTCAGCCCAGGAAACAGCTGGCAGTGGGGAAGGGGCTTCAGAGGTGTCCTTAGGCTCGTCAAATCTGTGTTGTGGTGGAGCAAGGGCAAGAGGCGATTCTCAAGTTCTTTAGAGAAGGTTCTGCTGTCGCCTTGTTGCAGAGCAGAGGTGACCTCCCAGAGAAGGCCAGTGGGGCCACTGCACAGAGCCTTGACTTTCCCTTGCATAACGGACAAAATATTTTTATATGTATATATATTTCTTACCACATATAAAAGTCTGTTATCCTTCTTATTGAAATAAATCAATGTTGTTCACAGAAATGCTGCTCAGAACAGTGGCCTTTCTTGCATCGTGTTTGTGCTATCTCAGAAACAGTGGAAACGATGCCTTTGCTTAGGCTTCCTTTAGCATTCATCACCATAGGTGCCTTGCTGATTATAGCTATTTTTAATTTGGTAAGTAGTTGTATTATCTTCCTTCATGAATTTGTTTTAACTCCATAGTTGGAGTCACTTAATTGTTGCGTGCTTGGCTTTTTCTCATGCCGATGCCCGCCGAGCGGGTTTGCAAGAGGATGTGGCCTGGCTACTGCTGGGCTGTGCAGGGTTCACTCGAGCCCTGGTCCCGCATTGGCCTCAGCCTCACCTTTGGCTGCAGTCTGAGTGCTGTGTTGCACATAGGTCCCTATGACTGAAAACAAGACCTCTTCGTAGTTACCTCATGTTCAACAACCCTTTTCCTTTTAATTTTTTTAAAATAAGCCTAATGTGCAATTAATGTCTCTGATGGCTACCTGCTGCTGAAAGGGGTGGCCTTCCCAGCCTGTGTGCCAGGCCTGATCTGGGCAGGCGTGTTCCCGAGCCGGGCTGCCGAGCCCTGCTGAGCTGGTTGCAGGGCGCCTTTCTGCTGGCCTGGCCCCTGGCACCGACCCGCAGAGGGGTCGTGGGAGCCCCGGCAGAGCCAGCCCCAAAGGAAGCACTGGAGCGGCGGCCGAGAGCTGAGGAGATACTAGAACCACATGTTTGTGGCCAGTAACTGTTAGACTAGCTTGGCCATATTGTGAACTTCCCTTTGAATTAAAAAATAAGTAAGAGAACACATAGCAATTTCCTCTTTGTCTCGTTCCTTGCATGTGCATGTACATAAAATAAAGCTATATGGGATTTCATTGTGTTTTAACACGTGTATTGCAGTGCTGCTGAACGGGCAACCAGGCCGTGACTCATTGTACAGTGTGTGGAGAACAAACCTTAAATAAATGACTGCTTACTAACCAGCTTATGTATTTTTTTTCTTCCCAACAAAACAGACTACTGAAGGATACAACCCTGCAAACGCTACCGCGTCAAACAGCCTGTACACCACCACCTCTGTGAGTAGAGCACTGCCTTCAGTTCTGAGATTGATTTCATCTTGGCTGGGGTATATAAATGTTGAATAATGGCATTTCATATATTTCTATCTTCTATCTTTATTTAAAAAATAGATATAAAACTTTAAAATCACTGAACTTAGAAAAATCTACTCCTGCCACAAGACGGTTTTGGCACTTCTCAATATTTGCTATCATTAGCTATGGTTTTGTTGATGTTGAGATGTTTCAAAAGTCTGGACTACTCATGTATACAGCTTAAGTCTTGATTTAGTTACTCAGTACTTTTTAAAATCCAGTGTTTTGAGGAGATCAATACAAAACAGTTTATGCTGTATTAAGTTTATACTGATCTTTTGTTTTAATGTTAGCATATATGAGCTAAATTCTTGTTCATATTCTTGTATTTCTTTTAATTGGCTATCATAAGGGAAAAACAGGGCTCTTAAAAATTGAACTCTCTTCTAAATAATATTTAGCATCTACATAAGCATGTATTTAGCATAGAAAAGGATTATGTGTGAAGATTTCAGTTTTTACCTCTCTAATTTCAAAGCAGTATTCTGTTCTGAGATCATTCAGATGTTTGGGATGCTCCTGTGTTCCCTGGCCCCCAGCTGCTAGTGCTGGATATGCTTTTAACAACATGTGTTTACAGTGCACATGGCAACAACATTTAACAAGTGAGAGGGCCTTGCTATTCAGGGCCATGTGACAAGTGATATGTTGCATGTACGTGATGCATGTTTTACTCGCCTGGTAATTTTCTGTTCTTGCATGTTTGCAAATCAGCCTTTTGGGAATACAGCTGAATACTGCATTGAGGAAACTGTAAGTACTAGAAATATATACTTTATATACTTCAAACCCAGGTCTTCGAGTACTGTGTATAGTATTAATACCTGGCAGCTTTGGGTTTTTTTTGTTTTGTTTTGTTTTTCCCCCTGCTTTCAAGTAGGAAAGAGAGCATAGTTTTTGTAATATCAAAAGGTTCCAGTTGCCACTGCTGTGATGAATGCAGTTTGGCTCTGCATCTCACCCTTTTGGAAATTTCAGACATGAAAGTTCATGTAGAAGGTTGAGGAAAAAGTGGTAGAACAGGGTGATGTTTAGGGTCGTGTTTCAGAGGTGAGAACTGCTTTGTTGATGCTCTTGGGCATGCTGCGAAATGGCACGTAGGCCTTGGAGTTCTCTAGGTGGCTGTTTCTGTTTCAGGGATCTAATTGAGCATGGGAGTGTTTGCTACCTTTTGAAAGTAGATTCAGAGCCTTTAGGATGATAGAATTGGTGCAGTTCATTATATAATAGATTCCTAGTTTACCCTATTAATTGCTGGTTTCATTGACTTCTGCAGAAATTTTAAGAGTTTGCTAAGAATCCCCAGGGCTCTGTGGTTCCCGCCTGCTCTGTTATGGGTGAAGAAGTTTGATAACTTGGTGTTTTGTGCCACAAGAGAACTGTAGGCTGGAGGAGGCGAGGCTGAAACGTTGGGGGAGCTGGAGGGAGGGTGAGAGGGAGCCTCAGGTCAGGCACTCTGTGTCCCTCGGCCCTCGCCCCTTCCCTGCGCCCGGCGCCGCGGGGCTGTTGTTGGTGCCTGGGGCTGCACAGGCAGCTCTGTCCGGGACAGTGCCTGGCTCACGGCCAGTCCCTGGACTGTGAGGCTGCTTTAAGTTAGTCTTTAACTTTAAATAAATAGCTGTTAAAATTAATAGTCTTCTGAAGATAAGATGCTCAGCATTCTTCTGTTTTTATCTGGTGTTGCTTGTGTTTGCACCTGATTATTTTTTGTTTAAATCCCCCCCTTTTTTCTTTCTTTTTAATGATTTAAAAAAAAAACCCTGTAAACTAAAAGAAGTCGATAGATCTTTCTTAGTGCAACTATTGAAGGTTTAATTATATTATGAACTGATTTATATATCTCCTATTTAAATGATGCAGGTAATGAGCTTAAAGCCTTTGCTACTGTTTGAAGGTCTGTGATGTATAAAGTCTGAATTATGCAACTGCTCTTTAAATTATTCTTTTACAGTATTACACCTACTGCTGCATATTAGCGTTCATTGCTTGCTCTGTGTTCCTCCAAATGAGCTTCGAACTCAAAGTTCTGCTGCTGTCCATTGCTGTGACCGTTTACCTCATCATTTTCAATACCCTCCAGCATATTCACATGAGCGTCCCTGTGAATGATACCAGGTACATGCCAAGCTTTTCATAACAGACAAAAGAGTTCTGCTGATGGAGGCGCGGGTTTTTGTGAACTTTGTGGTTTTTGAAATTGAAAGATCACGCAAGTCAGAAAGCCCTTTGTAAAGCTAATGACACAGAAATCATTTTAGACTGCTGTCACCTTAAGAAAAAAAGTGAAATTAAGAAAAAGTTTTTAAAAATAAATAAAGGCTTCAGAGGTATCTAGAAGCTTAGCTTACACTGAAGATCCTAAGAAGGAATGGGAAGAACCTCAGCCTTTTAAGAGGGTTGGTCTTTTAAACTATGGAGAAAAGCCTGTCGTAAATAAGACGGGGTATTGCTTCCTGGTTCTGCAGAGGTGGTGTGGCTGTAGCACAAGTAGCTGCTGCCAGTGCTGGTGGTTCTGAACAAGGCACCCCCTTCCAGCCACCCCACACCTAAATGATGTGGAGTTTCCTTAAAGGATCCAAATGACTTGGTATGGCTTTCTTTTTTTCAGGTTTTTCATGAAAGACCCGGGAATAATGACTAACTTATATCTGGTCCTATTTTACGTAACCCTAATTCTACTTGCAAAGCAGGTAAGTATTTAAAAAGCAATAGGTTCGTTCCATTCATACTTGCTGCAAGTAGATTTAAACAAAATGCAAAAGTATTGTTAATTTAAATTGTGTAAGAAATTGATACATACTTTTATTCTTTTACGTAGTTGAATTCAGTGCAGAAATGATTACTGTGGAATGGCAGGAACCTTCTCACACTCTTCAGTAGTGTCTGCATTCCAGAAGTCAGAATACTGTAATAACTTTCCAATTTTCCTCTCTAATGGAACTTCTGAAATTGGAAAGCAGAACTTAGATTTTTCACCCTCTTACCCCAGGCAGTAACTTAAGATAAAAATAATCACTATGTTATTAAAATGTCAGACTTCTAAACACACCTGAAATAACCTGAGTAGCATCCACTCATGCTGGCTACTTTGCATTTTTCTGGCCTTCATTCTTGAGACACTCTTTATAACTATCACATTCAAAATGTCTTGAAGAGGCCTTATTGCTTCTATTCTTATTTTGAATAATTTAAGGCTTTTTCAGAGAAATGATATATGCATTTAATTTAAATATTTATTTTTCAGATTGATTATTATTGCCGACTAGATTGTCTTTGGAAGAATAAGTTTAAAAAAGAACATGAACAGTTTGAAACGATGGAGAACGTTAACAGGCTTTTGCTGGAGAACGTGCTTCCAGCGCACGTTGCTGCCTATTTCATTGGCGAAAAAAGGAATGAGGTGTGTTTAATCTCTGCTGTGTGAGGGACAGGAAACTGAACTTCTGTAACAGCAGGCACAGAGCAGACTAAGATTCTGCATACGCATTGTATCTTGTTTGCATGCTAACATCTTTTTTTTTTAAATAAACAATCTTGTACACAGCATCCAGGACATGTCAGCTTTGTTGTCAGTCTCTGAAGTCTGTTCTAAGAATTAGATATTCAGCTTTGGGAATGAGCTGGAGTTTGGCAGTTATTTAGGAAGGGTTTACTGCTTTGCAAAGACTGTATTTTGCTAGGGTGGATAGGCTTTCCTTTTAAAGTTAGTTAAAGGACCAGATAATATTTCCTAGGTTACAGGGAAACATTAATTGATAATGCTAAGAATAAATACTGAAGATTTCTGTGCAGAATAGATAAGACTTTTGAGATAAATCAATACCTTGGCTTTTCTGTAGCAAATCAGCTTTGTTAACACCTCTGATTAAAAAAAAAATCATAAAATTTATTAGTTTACAGTGTGATATGGAATAACTTCGTGGAAAGATTATAATTTGGTTAGTGGTAGCAAGCAATGGTTTTCATTAGCCATGGTGGAAGGTAACTGCTGAAAATGTGTCAATATATCATGTTCCTGCAGGACTGGTATCATCAGTCTTACGACTGTGTCTGTGTCATGTTTGCATCAGTACCAGATTTTAAGGTGTTTTATACTGAATGCGATGTCAATAAGGAAGGCCTGGAATGTTTGCGGCTGTTAAATGAAATCATTGCTGATTTTGATGAGGTAATTAAGCTTCTAGCAAAAATGGACTAGATTATGTATTTTCTACAAATAAAATGTTTTGCTGGATCTGTGAGCACTGGGGGAGGAAAAAAGGTGTTAGTCTGAACTAATCCTCTGAGCTCAGCCCTGCAGTGTTGGAAGTACAGTATATTCCCAACTGATGAGCGACAATTATATTGTTTAATGCGTTAGTAGTATGATTTGAAAGCCTTGAATTTCAGAAGTTGCTTCATTTCTCCCATGAGCTGGTAGAGTAGCTCCTCAGTGCTTTCCTGTCTAACGCTGATGTGATTAATGACAATATTCCTAAAGATGCTCACTGCTCCTTGTAGAGAATACAAGATTTCTGGTTAAAAGCTGAGATGTGGCACTGATGTGACAATTTCTGCTTTCTTTCCCTTTAAACAGCTGTTGTTAAAACCTAAATTTAGTGGTGTTGAAAAAATTAAGACCATCGGAAGCACCTACATGGCAGCAGCCGGCCTCAGCGTCACGCCGGGCCAGGAGGGCAACCAGGTGGGTGTTGGGGGCCCTCAGGACTCTGCTGGCGTCCGAGTGTGATAACCAGAGGTGATGCTGTGGTATGAATGCCACCGAGGCACCAAGAGTGACTTTCTGAAATGTGGGAAAAGATGGTAGGGGGGTATTGTCTCCCATTGAATTAGCACCTTCTATTTTCTCCTTTTTTTTTCCTCAGCAGACATTAAACTCGTAAGCCCAGCATGTTTTTTTCCAGTAGCTTAGTGTCCCTTGATGCATAACAGAATAGCTCTACCAATAAGGTAGTTGGAGAATTTAAGGTAACTTGGAAGAATTTAAAATCGGTTTCTCAGCTCAGGCTTTACCTTCACTGCAGCGGGATTGTGAGCAGCACCGGGATGTGTCCGTGTGTTGTATATACAAAGCATATGAATTAAATCTGAGCACAAAAGGAGAGGCACAAAGTCATGACCATAAAGGTCAGCTGTATCGTGCTGGCCTTCCAGACACTTCAACTGAACTTGCGTTTTGTTTTTTAATCCATGTGTAGTGTTGGTTGGACAGGGCAGTTCTGTAGCTTGGCCTCGTCCTTAGAAAGATATATGTGGTGTGGTCTGGAAAACCCTGTGGAATAGCAGTGACGCCCCACATAGTGTGGGGATGTGCAATCATTAGTATGTGCTATGGTCTGCCTAGGATAAGGAGAGGCAGCATGCTCACATTGGGATTATGGTGGAATATGGAATTGCCTTGATGAACAAACTGGATGGCATCAACCGACATTCCTTCAACAACTTCCGCTTACGGATTGGTAAGTTGGTAACCTCTGCAGTTCCATAGAAATTAAAAATGAACTGGATGGTTTAGGAAGGCCAGTTGCTGAACACTGCGGAGCTTTTGTTACTACTGAATGCTGCATTTGGATCCCTCTAAGCTGCTGACTAGTTGAAGGTTGGATAGTCCAGCTTTTTAAGAATGCCAGACTTTTTCAGGAATGTCACTTAGAGATTAGTCACTAGAAAACTGGAAAAAGGTCACTGGAAAAAGGAAAAACAAGACTAGAGCTGGATGAATTTGGAGAAAACCGGATCTGGATGCATGGGGAGGGACCTTGTTATTAACTGTTGGCTGGAGACAGTATTGTAGTTGTTCAGACATGTATTTCCATATATTAAAAGTAGAAAAGGAAGAATTTCACATTACCATGGACTCTGCCCTAGCTTTTTCTTGGACTTCCTACTTTACAATGAGAAAGTCATTTCTCCCTCTTTTTGTCTGTCTGTCTGTCTTGGTTTTGATTTGTGGCTAATACTCAAATAGTGAAGCTAGATATCATATGACTTCATACTTAGTAATTACATCTGCTTTTATTTATATAGGTATAAATCATGGCCCAGTGATTGCTGGTGTGATTGGTGCCCGGAAACCTCAATATGATATTTGGGGCAACACAGTTAATGTCGCCAGCAGAATGGAGAGCACAGGAGAGCTTGGCAAAATCCAGGTATACCAAGGAGCTTTGGACTGGCTATGTATTTTTTTTTTTCTAATTGGCTCTGTGTGTGTGTGTGTGTTGTTTGTTTATTTGTTTTTTAAAGGATAATAGCATTTCACAAGAATTTCTAATTTTTTTGCCCAAAGGTGACAGAAGAAACAAGTAAAATACTACAGGAGTTGGGCTATTCATGCGAATGTAGGGGACTCATTAATGTCAAAGGCAAAGGAGAACTAAGGACTTACTTCGTGTGCACTGAGACAGCCAAATTCCAAGGTATTGGACTGAACTGAGGCTATGACAAAGTTCATCAAAGTAGGCTTAGAACTGTCTTGCTTCTGTGAAGAGTTGGAATTTCCCTCCTTATGTGAAGGAGATTATTCTAAAACTATAGCCACGCTATTCATACTTCTGCTACATCTCAAAATAGGAGAAGGATATGTTTTGAAAGAAGTTCTGAAAATTTCCTAGGAGACACACAGCCAGCCTGTGAACAGGACTACCTTTCCCTGAGATAACTTGAGGTTGTACCTGGAGCTGAACTCTTTTCGGGTTCCTTTCCCTACCTGCACTGTGGGAGTGCAGCAGCAGTAACAATCTGTGGGGATGCACTGCACAGTTGATAACCACGTTAAAACATTCCAGAGCTTCCTTCCCGGGCGCCTGTGCCAGCAGTGCTGTATCTGCCGCCGGCGAGGGCACGCAGTGGCCACTGCACACCCTGTCCTTCATACAAACAGGCTTCGTGTCAGAAGACTGCTCAGTGATGGGAAGAGCAACGCGTGTAAATGCAAACGTACTGTAGCTCAGTTGTGCTGAGCTCCTCTGGGGAAAAATGCACAGTATTGGATCACTATTTCATTACTTTAGCCTCCTTCATAGCAGTACCTTGTATTACACAAATGTATTCCTCACTTGCCATTTCTCGGGAGTAGCTTTCATCTAGTTCCAAGTATTTACATTGTAATACATGGTCCCCTTTGTGCTTCTGTATTCAGCAGCTGCATGCAGATTTGTACACTGGCAGCCAAAAGTGATCTTTAACCTTCTGTCTCTAATTGACAAAAGTTGTACCTGATCTTGAGGTGCTGTGAGCACCTGCAGTTTATTCTGCCCTCTTGGCTAGAGATGGCTTGATGTCCCAGGGGGATTCTGTGTGCTCACTGCTTGCTTGAAGGCTTTTGTAGAAGAAGAAAATCTATTTTGAATCGTTCTGAAGCTGAAGAATGAAGAACAGAAGTAAGAGGATACTGGTAGAGACAGCAGCAGACAGACCTGCATCTGACGTGGCTTGCTTCTGGTCTCAGTTCTTCCATTTGACTAGCCGTGGCTGGGTGCCTGGGCGTGAAAGAATCAAGTGTTGAAGATCACCAAAGGATGTGAGGACAAACACCCAGAACAGAACTGTTTCAGCAGAGCTCAGGGCTGCCGGGATTGCTCCAGAGCATTTGTAAGCACTGACTTACTGTAAACAGGGCATAGCGTGTGAAGTCTTCGGTTTTATCTTTTTTTGTCCTTTTAAATTTTTTTTTTCCTATTACTGGTTTTTGCTAATTTCTCAATAAGCAATTTTCTACTTACTGCACTCAATCTAATTCTTTATGTTGATGAAGATGATAGTATTCTGCAAGGGTAACACCTTGTACCCAAATACACGTACTAATTAAGGAAGGATTTTCCCCCATGCATGCAACATGGGGTATGAATGAGAGTTCAACCTCTGTTCTGTCAAGCCTTACCCTTCTACAAAGCATCACTTACTAATATTTTGGGGTTCAGTACTAAACCATACAGGAACAATGTTTAACAAGCAGTCGTATGCATCACTGCAGCTTTCTAATTACTATGTAATTTCTTTAGAAGACAAAGTGACTATGTTTCAAGACGGGAACAAATCTAAATATTTTCTAACTGTGACAAAGGATTATGGCCTTTGCCACTTTGGTAGGTCAAAAGTATGTTCATAATAGTCTCCAACAGAAAATATCATGCTTTGAGGTTGTCTGGTTCATGCGTGGACTCTGCTGAAGAGGGAAGTTTAATACTTGGTGTCTTTTGTCCTTGGTGTCAGTATCAGGTCAGTGTTGTAGTTGAGTCAACTTTCCAACAGCTTCTACTGCTTTTGTGTGTTGTCTGTTTGTAACAGCAGATGCTCACCAAGCATTTGCTCTGAGATATTTATTTATTGTTTTGTATGGACCATGCCCAAGTCAACGGCTCCTTGTGGCCGCCTTGGGCGTTGTGTGGGAGGTAGTGACTCCTGGCATCATTAATATATTTTGAAGAGTGCACTATGCACACGGATAGAGCTGGCTCTGAAGGGTTTCTGTTCACGCTAGTAGTAGACTGTAGATATAAGTTATCTGTGAAAGAAAATTCTGTACATTAACAGCATTTTGAAATGCTTTTGTTTACATTATGTTGCCTGTCAGGCTAGTTGCTTGGCCATAACTTAACCTCATTTATGAAAGGGGTATAAAGAGCAATAGCTTTTGAACTGGATGGCATAGTTTTTTATTGCAATTTTAAAAGGATCTAGGCTAGACAAAAGACTGGATAATCTGTGTAAGGTCAGGAAGACCCAGGAAAAGGGGCTATATCTGAGGATAACTTTCAAATTTCCCATCAGAACTGGAACTGCATAATATGAGAGCTATATTCAACCACAGGAAAAGTTCAGTGTAACAGGTAACTATACGTAAATATCTTTAGCAGTCCTTTCTCAAGAGAACTGTGAACATTAAAATGATTTCTTCAATCTTGTTTAAAAATCCTTTTTTATAGCATTACTGTTTTCCTGAACTAAAAAGCAGTGCTGTATCTAATTTCAAAAGCTAATAACATCATGAATTAATAAAGAACAAACCTTTGTTTTACCATTAAATAAAAACAAGTTTATGCAATCGGTTTGTTTTGCGGTTATTTTGAAGTTTGAGATACTCCCACAAAAAGGGGGAATGATATTTCTTAACCTTTATAAAGTTAATGAGATTGTTTTACTCACAAAGTAAACTTATTTACAACTTGATTATTTAGAGAATGCATTTAAATGGAAAATATGTGAAGTGATATACTTACGGTTAGCAGCAAAAATAAGAGTTTCAGCCTCAATTTTCTGTAATATAGTTGAGTCATCTTTTACTTTGGCTTTCTACTATGCTCTATTAAAGGTAAGTGGCTGGAAATGAAATGCTGTAGACTGAGCTAGTAATGATTTGGCTGGCACTGTTTTGCATCTTGTCTTGGTCTATAGTATGAAAATGACTTAAGTATTAATGGATATTCTTTCCCTGGTGTCTTTCAAAGTAATGAGCTGCCTTTCACAGTGAATTGTTGGGAAATTTCTGATGACTATTTTATTGCCAAGAAAAAAGAATTCTGGGGCAATTGAAAACATTAGGGAAGAGTTCAGTCTGACAATTCAATCTCTTCAAAATGAATTTCAATTATAAGAATAACCTTTTTCTGAGCTGATTGTTACTACTGCAATTCAAGCACGTTATTTCTTTCTAATAAGCAAACCTAACAACTCTATTCAGATAGTGTTTAATAACAGCTCCAGACAATCAGGAGAGCTTGCTAGGTGTCTTCAAGCCAATTGCAGGTTGCTGCCTGTGTGGAATTTTTACCTGCCTGTAGCAATCAAAATCTACACAATTATTTTAGAAAGGGAAACTTGCATGTTCAGATATTAATGTTTTCCCTCCCCCCATGCACATATAGGTACACAGTCTACATGACTTTTGGAAGCTTTGTTGAATTCCTGTACCTCATTATATAGCCATGTTTTTCCTCATGTTTTGAATTTTCCAGAGAATGCAAACAAAATGCTAAATGCTGTTGAATTCCCTTAAAGAAATCACTAATTCCAAAAGAAAAAATAGTATGTTTATGTAGCAGATGTAATTCTAATACAAACAAAGGGCATCAGTTCCAAAATTTAATAAACAAAAGTCGTTTCTGTCACACACAATATACACATGCTCAGTGAATACACTTGAAGAGTGTTTATCTGGTTCTTAAATAGAATCAAACAAACATCATTAAACGTAGCTGAAGCTTCAGACTGTAACTGGACCACATTCATGTTCAGTGATGGTGACAGTCTTAGGTTCCTGGAAGTCTGAAAGATTACAACAGATGCTACATCAATCAGCAGCAAATTTAAGAGTCTTCAACAAAAGAAGTTCACATACGGTACAATACTTCTCCTCAAGTCCTTGCTATTTGTGCAGATAGCCCTGTGTTAAATGCTTTTACACAAATATTCAAGAAAAGAATTCTTCATCTGATCTTTTTCTGGTAAATAACCTCTCTGAACATGACTATGAAAAAGAAACATTCCAGTTAAAATTTCTGTTTGCTTGAAAAGATAAGTACAGTTCTGAAAGAGTTGTGTTCTCTGAATTAAATAAGATCTTGAATGAAAGTTTCTATAAACCATAGAGCATGTAAATTTGTTGTGTGGATCAGATCTTTCTTGAAGCTAAGTTTTTAACCTCTTTAGGAAGCAAAGACTAACACAATCTTTGGGTATACTTGGATAATTAAAGTGGCCTAATAAGCTACTGCCACAAGAGGGAGATCCCGTTATGGCATGTAAATCTTCCACTGACCTTAATCCAGGGAGAAGAGGGTTTTGCCAGATGAATTAATTGAAGTGATTCAGTCACTTTACAGAGCCCTACGGCTGGCTCAAGTAATTTGCAGATGTGCTTCTGTTTGAACTGTACTGATGCTGCAATACATTTTGTTTACTCACCATCTGTTAAATCTACCCAGCTGTCTTCTGTATCAGGTAAAGGAACTGAAATTCCCATTGCTTTCCGGATTCCATATGTACTAACAATATCACCTGGAGTCACTTGTTGTGCAAGTTCTTTTAGATTATTTGTTACTCGCTCCGCTAAAAAGATAAAAGTGAATATGTTTATATGGTAAATGTGCTTACAAAATTGTTCAAATGAGCCCTTCACTTGCAAACAGGGTTTAGTTATGCAACTACACATGCATTCCTAGGGACTGTCACCTTGGTTCACAATAATTTATTACAACTTCACCACTGATCAATTCTGCAAAAGCAAGCTGGAAAAAGTAATACTTACCCAAGTGCATCTCTCTGTAAGATGGAGCAAGAAGACAAATCATATTAGGGGGAGGTTTTGTACTTAGTCGTTCATTCTGAGCATCTTGGAGTTCCCTCAGAAGCTTTGTTGTTTCATCAAGTTTCCTCTGAAATATTTCAGCCTCTGTTTAACATAGGAAAAAAAATCATAAGAGAAGTTAACTGCTTATATGATAATAGGATCAGGCTGAATATGCCTAGGGAGTGAGACCAATAAATACCTTTCATTACAGTAACTACAGGCCTATTAGAAGTGCAAGTAGGCAGAAAACTCACCCTCAGACTCAAATTCTTCCATGGGCATGCCGAAGTTCGTGACTGCTTTCAGTGCTGTAAGCCTGTCATTATTAGCGGCATCCAGCCTGCTGGCCATGTCCATTTCCATTATCTAAACCAAAACAAACTTACTCAGCAAATAACAACTTAGGTAGTATAGCATTTGATTAGTTTTAAAATTGCTTTAGGCAGATTAAAATAACAATGAAAATTAATCTGCTCTACAGCAATAAAACGGGCATATGGCTAGAAAGCTGAAAGATATGCTATGAAACAGACCATTCCAGTTGCTCAGCATACTATCCTAGGACATGTTCAAATAAAATGGGCATCTGTCCAAAGTGCTGGAAACATGCACATAAGATGTAGCAACTTGAGACCAGCATCCTAATTAAATAATTCCTTCTGCTCACCCAAACCAGAAGTTTTCCATGACAAAGAAGGGTAAAAGACAAAACCTGGGCACTGTAAGGATTAAAGTTTCAAGGGAACAGTCCTTTCACTTGAAAACTCTTCCTCTCTTTCCAGCTGAGGAAGGTTTGTAGAGAATGGTTTTAGTGACGATACAGTATGTCTACAGCAACACAAACTATCTGAGAAAATGCTCCGAAGAGACTGTACCCAACAGGTATTGTGTGGTATTTTATATAAGTACGATAAAAGAAATAAGTATTTTCAAATAATAAAGCTACCTATTTTTTTATTGATACAAAAAAAAATTACCTTCATATCTCTTGTTACATCACTTCTTTCAGGTGAGCCTTCACCTTCTTCCAGTGGCTGAATTGAGAAAAGATTTTAAAATTAATCTCAAATTCAAAGCAAAACACTATAATACCATTTAAATCAAAGTAAGTTGTACAGTGTGACAGCAAGTTTTCTCTGTAAAGCAAGTTACAACGCTGCTATTTTTTAGACAGTGTTATAGAGCTGTTGGAGAAGAGATTATACAATCACTAAAATACATGCAATTTTATAGCACATATCTTTGCTCCTTTTGCAAATATATGTTTCCATGCTTTTCTGCAGTGATTTCACCACAGAGATTATTTATTGGGGGAAAAGAGTAAAGGAAGAAAGATGTGGATTAGATGCTGACATGTTCTGTTTCAATAAATAATTTATTTCTCTTAATTTTTACAAGCATGATTGAAGCTGGAAAGCAATGTTGGGTTCTTGAAAAGAATTAACTACTGCTAAGCAAAGGCTGAAAAGTGATCTTTAATGCAGGAAATAGTCCCACTATTAATTAGCTAATATATGAACTATCTGTAAAAGGCTATGCACTGTTTCTTTCAATAGTTTACAGTCATGCCAAATTCAAACCCGGAGCTTTAGTTAACTGTAATTTTCTCTGCTAATTATAGGATTACGAACTGAGTTTTAGCTCAATCCTTTTTCCCAGGTACTAAAATTTCATAGAGATTTGACAAGTATTCTTTAGTGGCTGCTTGGAATATGCTAAACTTTTCATGGAACCAAACTTGCATGGTTCTCTAAGCAACAGCCTATTGCTGTGTGTTCTTACTGACTGTGCTAATGTGTACAGGATAGTCCACAGAGGAAGGACGTACAACTTTGTCAAGCTACAGTAATATTAATTTTCTCAGTACTGGGCAAATTAGTCTTTATTGCTTAGTTTTACGAATTAAAACGCAGCCCATATATAAGAACAGTATCATCCTTCTCCAGCTTTATAGCTGTGAGCTAAACATAAACATCAAAAAATCCATAAATTCATTCTTACCGTTTCTAATTCTCTGAGAGATCTAGAATGTCCTCCTTTCGTTAGAACATCAAGCAAACTATCAGCCATTACAAAAGGATAATCTTGTGATTTCATCAAAAATTCATGAATACTAGAAGATTAAAAGATAATTAGGGTAACTTTCTAATGAAATGTTCAATGGGAAAATGTTTTTTTCTATGTAAAGTCAAACAAGATGTAGAGATGTTAGTCCTGGCATATCCTTTTTTAAGGACTTGCATTAAGGACCAACAAACTTATAAGCCTGTCATCATTCAGCTGCAAATCCTATGACTTGACAGCTTCTGTTCATGAAAGCTATTGCACGTATCCTAATTGCTTGCTTACCTGAAAGATCCTTGATTAGAGTCTTCCCCATATGTTGAATAAATTAGATCAGAATCATCTTTACTGATGTTGGCAAATGTAGAGTCATATGTTGGAGCATAGGAACTATAGGGTCCATAATTCAAGTACATCACTGATGGATAACAACAGTACTAATTACTATCTCCAATGGACATTAAATGAAAGCAAGAATGCATTGTAAAATATTCCCCAAAAGGAACTTTTTTTAGGCGTACAGGTAAGCTTGGAGGATATAATTAACATCTATTTCAAAGCCATTTTTATTTACAGGTTTTTTGTTAACAGTATTTTATGCCTTTACACAATATGAAAATTAATTTCAGTGCTACTAACAGGTTTTGGGCTGCCC